GATCGGGATGCACATCACAGCGATTATTATAAGGTACCTATTGAGCGAGAGTGCTGAGTGTGAATATTGATTGATGAGAGTTGAGTCAGGAGTGACTGAGAGGCTTGCCCGGAGGGCTATATATATATGAGTGATACTTTTCCCGAGGGGCTTGTTTTTATGAAATTACTGTTTTCACCCTTCTTTTATAATGAGCCTCTATTGAAAATGTTGAACAAATATTTTAAACAACTTTCATTGAAACTGGAGTTTTTACAAGATGTTCGAAAATTAATTATTGATTTGATCTTGTTATTTCCACTGAGGTTTTTATGTTATGAAATGTATATGACTTTAAATGCTCGTCACTGCACTCAGCCATTATTTATAATTGTTACTTACTGAGTTGGCTCTCACATTACTCCCTACACCTTGTGTGCAGATCCAGGAATTGCTGGACATGCTAATGAGTGTTGTTTTCATCCGTCGCGGATCTGCTGGAGTTAGTAAGGTAGCTGCACGGCGATCGCAGCCCTGCTTTTATCCCTCATATCTTCCTATAGATTGTTATTAGTTATCTTCCAGTCTGTATATGTCTTAGTGTTATTGGACAGTCCTTTCTATATGCTCATAACTAGTGACACCCCGACGTCGGACTTTCTTTCTGCACTGTTGTTTTGGCTTAATCCCTTTATGAAGGTTTATTGTTAAATAACTTTGAATTTATATTAAAAATGGAAATATTGGTTGGTTTTGTTAGTGTGTCAGCTTGCCTAGTACCACGATAAGAGCCATTACGACATGATAGATTTGGATCGTGACAGTCCCTCAAGAATATATTGATGATTTGATTCAAATTGTAATTTCATTTACAATTACAGTTATTTGTATAATATGCGTTTACAAGAGAGAATATAAGAGTTTGGGCTCTTGCTTTTTTCAATCTTAATATTATTATCACGACCTCAAATACCCGGTCGTGATGGCACCTATCATAATATTATGCAAGCCAACCCAACAAGTAACCACAGTCAATTTCTTTTACTAAATATATTTTTCTAACATTTAGTTAAGTCTCAATTTTCATAAGGAATTCATAAAACACTGAAAAGTGTCGAAAACATTATAGAAAATAGACCAACACAACCCAACAATCTGGTGTCACGAGTCTAGATCCTCTAAATATACAAATTCGACTGTCTAATACATAACCAGTCTAAAATGCAGAAAGAAAAAATATAGGAAGAAGGAAAGTAGGACTGCGGACGCCGTGCAGCTACCTTGCAATCTCCAATAAGCTCTAGAAATGCTGGGAACCCTCATTCTGCTGCTCGGGCACCTGGATCTGCACACAAGGTGCAGGGAGTAACGTGAGTATGCCAACTCAGTAAGTAACTTAAGTAAATAAAGTTTAAAAGTAGTAACGAGCAGTTAAAAATCATATAAAAGGAGTAAACAACAGAATATCAAGTCAAACTCAATAGTTTAAAAACCAGTTTCTTCATAAAGCTTCAGTTTCAATTGAAAGACTTTGAAATTATTTACTTAGCAGTTTTCAACAGAGGCTCATTATAAAGGAAGAGTGAATCAGCAAAAATATCATAAATAGGCCCCTCGGGCAAGATATCACTCATAAATATAGTCTCTCGGTCACTAGTGACTCAGCTCTCGTCACTCAGTACTAACACTCAGCACTCAGACTCAATAATTTCTCATAATAGTAATAATCATAATAATAGCTGCGGCGTGCAGCCCAATTCGTAGTTTATAGTCGACTACGCTCATTGGGGGTGTACAGACTCCGGAGGGACTCCTACATCCCAAGAGTCATATCGTTGCGGCGCGCAGCCCGATCCAATATATNCCATAATATATACATATAATATTGCTGCAGCGTGCAGCCCGATCCGTAATATTTATAATCCTCATCATTAGGTCCTCAACCTCTCTCAGTCATTAATCTTACAGCCACTCGGGCATAACAGTGAAAATCAGGGAACTCAGTCCAAACAGTTCTCATATTTCAAGAAGTAGAGTGATAAAACCAGTTTTAAACAATAAACAAGTAAAACGTCACTGAGGATATACTTTCAAATGCCCCTAAGGGTCTCAACAGGTCAGCACAAGGCCCCAAACATGGCATACAACCTATAATACAATATAAATTTCTAAAATACGAGATACAATAAGGTTTTAAATCAAGTACGCGGCTTAATAGGCACTACGGGACAGACCAAGTCACAATCCCCACCGATGCAACACCACACGCTCGTCACCTAGCATGTGCATCATCTCATTTATCAAAATGATACGGAATACCAGAGTTTTGTACCCTCAGTTCCAGATTTACAATGGTTACTTACCTCAACCGGATGAAATACTATTGCGCAACGCCTTTGCCTCTTGCCTCGGTCTCAATTCGCGCTGAATCTACCCAAAATCAGAATCATAACATTAGAATATGCTAAGGGATCAAAGCCCAAGCGAAAATAATTAAATCATACCAAAAATCCCGAAATTAGTCCAACCCGACCCCCGGGTCCACGTCTCAAAATTCGATAAAAATCACATCAATGGAATCCTTATCCTCCCACGAGTTCATACATACCAAGAATACCAAAATCCGATCACAAATGGTCCTTCAGATCCTTAGATTAAAGTCTCAAGTTTCCAAGCCCTAACTCCCTAATTTAGGCTTTAAATTCCTCAAATTTTATGTTTAATTAGGTAGAAATCACAATAGGATCGAGTATTAAGTCCATAATTCTTACCTCCAATAAGTTCTCTTTAATTCCCTCTTCAATCTCTCTCAAAAAGCTCCAAAACCGAGGAAAAAATGGTGAACTTAGGCTAGAACTTGCGAAAATGGCCTTTTAAACATTCTGCCCAGCGATCAGAAATCCTTCTTTCCGAACGCGGTCAAAGCCTCGCATTCGCGAAGCACAAAATACTATTGACCAAAAAATCCTCTTACGCTAACGTGATGACCCCCTCGTGAACGTGATGCCTCAGCAGCTCAAACCATCCCGAATGCGTCTGCCATCTCGCGAACGCGATGCTTCCTGACTCCAACCATTCGCGACCGCGGGACCTCCCTCGCGAACCGAAGGCCAAATCTCCAGCCTCTCATCCTAATCCTTCGCGAATGTGGGAGCTCCCTCGCGAACGGAAAGCAAATCTCCAGCTTCTCATCCTAACCCTTCACGAACGCGAGGGCCCACTCGCGAACGCGAAAGCCAAAAGTCTGCAACAGCTGAAGCCAAAAATCTGCAACTTCTCAATTATGCATTTGGTCCGTTTAACCACCCGAAACTCACCCCGAAGCCCTCGGGACCTCAACCAAACATGCCAACATATCCCATAACATCATTCAAACTTGTTCCAACCTTCGGAACACTCAAAACAATATCTAAACACTAAATTTGCATCGGATTCAAGTCTAAGAATTCCAAAATCTTCCAAATTCCGCTTTCGATCAAAAAGTCTATCAAACCGCGTCCGAATGACTTGAAATTTTGCACACATATCCCAAATGACACAACGGACCTACTGCAACTCTCGGAATTCCATTCCGACCCCTATATCCAAATCTCACCTATCCATCGAAAAACGCCAAAATTCCAATTTCGCCAATTCAAGCATAAATCTACTCAAGACTTCCAAAACACATTCCGATCACGCTCCTAAGTCCCAAATCACCAACCGAAGCTATCCGAACCATCAGAACTTACATTCGAGCCCTTTAATACATAAGTCAATATCCGGTGACTTTTCCAACTTAAGCCTACTCAAAAGAGACTATGTGTCTCAAACCTTACCAAAACCTCTTCAAACCCGAACCAATCAACCCGATAATATATAATACAACTGAATAGAATAATAAGAAGCAGAAATGAGGAAAACGGAGCGGTAATTCATGAAACGACCGACCGGGTCGTTACAATTATATTCTCAATTTTATAGTTTTCTTATTTACTAGAAATCTTTTTAGCCTCCATGAACATGATTTCAACACAAAAAGTTTTAAAATATGCTGCAATGACAAGAGGCGGTAGTCTTTTCTAACGATTATTTGATGCTAATAACTTTTTTTATTTCATTTATACGATTTCTTTTTCTAATATACACCTAATAAATTCAAATATTTTATTTGTGTAATTAGTAGCTTTACAATGAAATTTATGTAATTTTAATTCTAATTTGGTTTTTTAATTTTTCTGAATCTCCTTAAATCTTTCTTAATTATATAAAATTAAGGAATGTGTATTAGCTCATGGAATAACACGCAAAAAAGAAGAAGAAAAAAGTCCGTACATCAGCCAGCTTCAATAAGGAAGGTAGAGAGATTAAAATAGGGTAAAAATTTGCACGCGTGGACGCTTACACCAAACTTTATTGGCCTAGTGTAAATGCTTATGTGATTAAATTTTATACCAATACTATCTCTCGTTCCTTAATACTCTTTTGGTTCAAAATAAGTAATTTTTTTGACCTTTCTCTTGTATTTCAAAATAAGTGATTGTTTGATAAGATAAATAAATAAACAACTAATAAATACGTGGGCTGTCATTATCACTTAGCTTTGGTACCATCATTTTTCAACCACTTCCATAAATAAACAAATCCATTAACCTTAACCATCTGTTTCCAGCTCAGTACGCGTATTAAAATTTTTACCCCCTATAACGCCCACAACTTGGTCCCCAGTGAACTTTCCAATTTCATTCTTCAAAACACCCCCCCTCAACACAC